TCATATTATTGTTATCATCATTTATCTTGTTTTTATATTTGTGTGGGGGATGAATACACTGTAGTACTTGATCACACAATGGTCATGGCAAATACCCATTCATGCCCCGGTGGCTGCTGTCTGAGCGGTGGAGGTCAGTTGTGCAGGTGCTGCGACACCCGGGACTGACCCCAGTGAGCAGTGCTGGCCACCAAGGCCCAAGTGAGCGTCCCTCAGGACTACCCCTCACAATTGTCATCACACATCACTGCTGGGAAAATTCAGGGTGGACAGGAGACTAAACAGGGAGAGCACACCTGGGCCCTGCACCTGCTTTCCCAGGGAGTTAACACCTGTGCCTCTGCTGATTTTAATTCATATCATTTTCTGTAATAAACTGACCAAGAATATAATATATTATTCTAAGACTTGTATTTATATTGGTCATAGAGGATGAGGGTGATCTTGGAAGACTCAATATAACTACACCAGAAGTGGACTTTCCAGAAGAACCCTGACTGGTTGACATACAGCTGAAGCATCGCTTAGCAAAGCGAAGGATACCATGCTGAGGGGGTTGAAACTCTGATGCCTGGATGCTCACAGAGTCACCTGGTGTGAGGCAGGATGTGGGCTCCAATAAGTTGTGGAGGTAAAAGCTATCAATGGATGTATGAATGGTAGATCAACACTGTAGGAGTTCATTTCCCAAACACTAAGACAATGTAGAGATAATCAGAATTAGTCTAAATATACAATCTGCATATGTACTAATAATAACTGAAATGAAAGCAAAATAGTTGCTGTCCATCCTGCCCTGTGCACACTGAGCCGAGGCTACAAGGGTCAGATCCACCATCATGATGAACAATTGTCCTGGAGAAAACTGCTCTGGCCCACGGTGTCAACAAAGGTTGTCCATGTGCAGAGCAGGGGAGGGAAAACATTAAAGTTCTTAATCCAGAGAGTGCATGGAAGAGTCGCAAGATTTTGTGACGTGATTTATGTCATTAATTGACCTCACCAGGTTACCAAGCAATATTGACTAAGGGACTATGAGCTGATGAGCAGGGCAGAGTCTCCTTGGCTTTGTGCCCACATGACTGAGGAGGCATCATGTGCACTGTGGACCAACATCGTACAATAGGGCAATCACGGATGGGTGCAGGTGATCCCGACACACGGCACGTTGTTCCTGGTGGGATAACTGACCCGGTACAGGAGGTAACAGACTGCTGACCCTGTAAGGTAAGTCACTTCCTTTGAAGAGTGAAGCGGACTCCCCAGATGGAGAACTGATTCCACACACCCAAGTCCTGCTGACGTGGCTTTATGGAGTTCGGGTCGTGATCACGTGTTATGCACCTTGCCCAGGCCACGGGAGACGGCTGGGACACAGGGAGGCCCTTTTGGTTCTGCACTCCAGTTGCCCCCACTGTGCAAGGTCAGGAAACACCTTAGAAGCTGTATAGGTTTCTCTCCCCACTCAGAGTTCCCTTTGGGCCTCAGAGATACTGAGGACGGGAGGTGGATACAAAGGAGAATGGAACAGACGCAGGAGAGAAGGAAGGGACTCATCCCAGCATGGTGGGCGAATTTACATGGTTACTAAGGAAAGAGGTGGCTGAAGAGGACAGTGGTGGGTCGACAGAAATGTATAAAGCAGAACCACGAGATACTGGTTGGAGCAATGGTCTGTCGACGTTCAGAAACCCTCAGCACATATTCCCTGTTCATCGTTGTCTGCAGGAATGTGGAAATGCAGGAGTCAAACTGACTTCAGCAACTTGCCCTGAATGCCATGGGTGATGGTCTGGCAAATCAGCAAGGTGAGGGTGGTCGGAGGGCTGGAACAACTGTCCTCACCCCCAACTGGGTGATGCCCAGGCTCTGATCACACTCATGTGCAAAGTGCCAGTTGGTGAAGAAGAGTGATAGTTCTTGTTCTGTGGCATTTATGCGTGAACTCCTCACTTCACAGTCTTTCCAGGCTGCATTCTATAGGTTGTTTGGCTTTTTTCCCATATGTGACTCCATTTAGATTCTGACAACCTCCTCTGCAGGGTCACAGAGAAGGGGGGTGAGATGGAGCCCCAATCAGAGTCCTGCGGGCACCTTGACCAGAGTGTATGGGGAGGTCGGGGGGATTATTGGGACCTTTTCCTGCCCCTCCCAGGAGGTTTAGTTCAGCCCCTGCTGCCCCAGTGGTGCTGGGCTATGAACCTGGGAGTCTCCGCTGCGGGGCAGGGCAGGACAGATGCAAACTCGAGTGGGGAACATCCCGTCTAAACCCATTGCACAGCGGATCTCCCTCAGCACCCAGCCAGGGCCCTCTGCCAGTTTCAGGTTTGCTGTTGGTCACATAACTTCCATTATCTGAAATATTAAATAAAATGTGCTAATCTACAGCTTCAGCAGTCGTGCGTTATACATGACGATGATGTTGCTATGGCTGTGAGAAGGAGAGCTTTTTCTCAGCTGTCTACTGCTCCCAGGTGAAGAGAAGCTTTGTCCATAATAGGAAGGTTTTGGAAACAATTCCAACTTCAATCAGTAGCTTAATAAAGATGTATTTTTTGTAAATGGCCCATTAGAACACTCCATCATTAACCACAATGACTGTCTCACGCACACTGCAGCGTGGCTGCACCCAGAGGATGTGCTGTGAGTAAAATAAGCAAAAAGGCACCTGCTACCTGATTCCACTATTATAAATTCTAGAAAGTGCAAATTGATCTAAAGCACCATGAGCTACATTAGCAGTTGCCTGGGTAAAGGGAGGGAGAGGGAAGGGGAAAGTAGGAGGAATTTTCGAAGGACAAGTGAAAACATCGAGGGAAATTGATTTCCTCAATATCACAGACAGGGTGGTGGTGCCCTCAGCATCTTTCACTTGCAAACTTTAACTATGTTAAGGCCACTGTGTATCAACTGTGCCTCATTTAAGTTAATAGGAACAACTAATAGATGATTTGGTAGGGAAGGAGTGATGGACAAATAGATAATAATAAGTGAAACATTAGGTTCATTTATTTGCATTAATCCTGTGTGCCACGTTTTTTATATATTTTTAAGAAAAAAAAACCAGACAAGAAATTTACTTTATGTTCTCATCATAGAATCGGTGTTCTAGAAACCACTCTAGGTATTCCAGCTTTGGCCTGCAGTGGATTCCAATGATAGCATCATGGCCCAGACACTGACATGAATTATTCACAGAGTTGTGTTTCTGGACATATCACACAACTTCTAGATGTGTCTCGGGTTACTTTTACATCTGCAAAATACACGCAAACTTCACAGATACAGCACAGGGTTTATATGTGTCTGTAAATAGATAGGTGAACAGGAATTAACTATTTATCACAGTACAGTTATGCAGTTTTTCTCTGGTCTTGCCCTCCCTGAGGTGTCCCACCCCAGCACTTGCTATATAGCAGGGGACATGCAAATAGGGCCCTCCCTCTGCCCATGAAAACCAGCCCAGCCCTCACCCTGCAGCTCTGGGAGAGGAGCCCCAGCCCCGGCATTCCCAGGTGTCCCCATTCGGTGATCAGGACTCAACACAGAGACTCACCATGGAGTCTGGGCTGAGCTGGGTTTTCCTTGTTGCTCTGTTACAAGGTAATTCATGGAGAACTAGAGATATTGGGTGTGTGAGTGGATGTGAGTGAGAGAAACAGGGGTGTTTGTGGCAGTTTCTGACCAGGATGTGTCTGTGTTTGCAGGTGTCCAGTGTGAGGTGCAGCTGGTGGAGTCTGGTGGAGGCTTGGTCCAGCCTGGGGGGTCCCTGACACTCTCCTGTGCAGCGTCTGGATTCAGCTTCAGCAGCTACTGGATGCACTGGGTCCGCCAGGCTCCAGGGAAGGGGCTGGAGTGGGTCTCATACATTAATAGTGCTGGTGGTAGCACATACTATGCAGACGCCGTGAAGGGCCGATTCACCATCTCCAGAGACAACAGCAAGAACACGCTGTCTCTGCAAATGAACAGTCTGAGAGCCGAGGACACAGCCGTGTACTATTGTGCGAGAGACACAGTGAGGGGACATCAGTGTGAGCCCAGACACAAACCTCCTGCGGGGGCGCGTGGCCACCAGGGGGCAGGCGGGACACAAGGAGCAGAGTGAGCCCAGGACAGGTGCAGGTGGAGGGTAAGGGCTGGTTTCCTCTTAGGGTCGTGGCTTCCTCTCCATAAAACGGTTTGCTCTGGGAAACTTCTCTGAATCCACGATTCTGTGCTTCCCTCTGAAGTCTCTGAGTTAACTATGTTTGTGGTCATGAGAGAAAATATTCTCCCTTGCACAGAAGGCAGACAGTGGCTTCCAGTCACTTTGTCCTCTCCCCAAATGTATATAAATTATCAGCATTTCTGAATAAGTCTGAAAATCGATAACAGATTTTGTCTCAGACAACACAATGCAGCAGAGCACACGGAAGTGAACGTTCCTTCAATCCAGCAAGCAGGATAAAGTGTCTGCAGGGCGTCAGGGGCAGAGGGAGTCAGTATCCTAAGCAACAGAAGGAAGACTCCGTGGTGGACACTGTCCCAGCACCAGGCTCACAACATCGATTCTATCTGACACAATTCAAGGACAGAGGGACCCCACCAACATTTAGCGTAGATGTTGACTCTGATGGTGTTTCACACACACACACATGCACCCACACACACACACACATACACTCACACACTAAATGAACATGGGAAGGGTGACTCCCTGCATTACTGAGGTGTCTGCAGAGCAGGGCAGTCCTCTCAAGAGAGTCCCAAGTGGCTTTGTAGGGCAGGAGGGGAGACTGGCTCAGGTTTTCACAACAGTTCCCTGATGGGCAGGGAGGAGTCTGTGACTCCCAGGAGGGGTCTGGTGGGGTCTGGGCCTCCGACAGCCGTCTCTAGAGAAAGCACCTGTGATTCCTCCCTAGAATTCCCATGAATGGGGCAAACAGAGAAGATGAAGGATGGGCCTTAAGATGTCAGCGGGCAGACATCAGCTAAGACACTCTGACTTCTTACTGCACTCAACAACTAGGATGGATGGGGAGTGAGCTGTGTGGGGGAGGGGCACTCCTGTAGCCCTGCCTTGGGCTTGGAAAAGCCATTATATGTAACCAAAATGTTGGTGCACCCATAATATTGTGAAATAAAAAAAGAAATGATAACATTGATAAATATTTTGGATCAGGAATATGCTGGTTTTCTTAATTTGATCAATATATAAGGTATACATACATGAAAACACATGTTATGAGATTAAACGTATGCATTGCTTGCCAATTAAAATAAAACAAAATCTTTACATGTAACAGTACAAAAAACTCACCTATGTTTGTTTCCTGTTATGCAAATCGTATAATTTTCTTTATTTTTTATTTAATTTTTTACACATATTTTTTTATTTCCGAATATTACAGGGGTACAATTCTTTAGGTTACATACATTGCATTTGCCCCGCCCAAGTCAGAGCTACAAGCCTGTCCATCCCCCAGACCCCGAAGGCAATCACAGCAACAACAAAAATAAGTAAATGGGACCTGATCAAATTAAGAAGCTTCTGCAAAGCCAAGGACACTGTCAGGAGAGCAAACAGAAAACCTACAGATGGGAGGAAACACTCGCAGGCCACACATTGTATATTCTGTATGTCTTTCCATCCATGTCTAGATGCAGATCACGTGCAAACTGGTCCCTGCTGTGGAAACGTACAGACCTCTCCAGCAGCTCCAGCTGCTCTCTCATGGATTCTGGGCATCTTCAATGTTCAGTGACAGAGAGGATGGTGTGAATATTTCAGTTCTTTTTCTTAAGATCAGAAAGTCAGCATAGTAGGGGGACAGCACCAGTATCAGTGTTTACACTAAATCCACCTTACAAGACCTGCAACTGCTGGTCTCTTTCTCCAGGTGTATATTTTGTCCTCAGATCCTCACGCTCACTACGTGGGGAAGATGGGAGCATCCACCATGGACTCTCCCCCACTGCACACACATTCCAGCGTCTCCAGACTACGGGAGTGTGGCATTTATGTGTGGGAGCAAATGCCATGGGGTGATGTCATGTCTCTGCCTCCCCAGAATCTCGTGATAGTGGTGTGATGTGCTATGAAGTTGATGTGGGTCAGGTGAGGAAAAGCTCACGTAGACATGCAGAAGTGACATATATTTTGAAATAAGATTCGGAATCTGTTTAGAAAAGACGGATGATGGCAGCTCCTTATAATTTGGGAATGAGGTGGCGATAGACAGAAGTAGGGGCCATTGTAGTTTTGTCTCTGATAGCCTGGTGCACGCTCATTGCACTGAGCATGTGGGGATTCCAATATTGCAACGGCAGAGGTCATATCCTAATGTGTTTAATTGTCATCGAGTCAATTATGCATTTAACTTGCATCTGTGTACATGTTGTCAAGACCTGGGAGTTCCAAAGAATACTCCAGTGGAATTACTGGAATCCAAATATATTCCTCCCTTACTCACTGTGTAAACATAGCCACACCTAATCCTAAAGTCACTGCCCTTGCAAAGACGGTGACTGTTTCCTGCCCTGCTAACCTACTGCATGAGAAGCCTATATGTGTTGGGCAGCACCACGTGTTCCTGAGATGGGCCCCTGGGAGTGATGCCAGGTAAAGTGAGGGGCTAGTGCTATGCCCACTCCTGCTCCTGTTCCTTCCCATGAAAGGTCCACAGATTCAGGTAACATCTGCATCCTGTTAGATTGCATCCCTTCCCCACAGTGCAGGGAACTGTGCACATTCATGCAGGAAGCCCCATTGCACTGGAAGTGGTGGCCACATACCTGCCATACCAAATTACTGATGCAGGTGAACCTCTCAGTCAGGCCAGCTCCTGCCAGTGAACCCCATATTGAGTGTCTTTTACTGTGAGGTGGAGCCCTTGGCCCCAGGAAATATCAGGCTGACACCAATAATTGAATTGCATGCACGGTAATCACACAGCTAGTGGTCCTGAGTGAGGCCTTGGATTTAGAAAGACACACACCCGGGCTGGATCCAGTCAAGGTGAGTCGGTGTACCTCCCAGAGTCAAAAGTCTCAGTGAATTTGATATCACATGATCTGTGCCTCAGTTAAGGAGCCCTGTTGGGGTCACCGCTGGTATATTTTGCTCACAGACTTTGATTAGGCAGAGGGAGGGCCTCAGCATGCATTGGTGGGTGAAAGTACATGAAGTTAGGAGATGCGAGTCATCCAGCCGTGCCACTGTGGTCACTTAATTCATGGACCATTGGGGCAGTGCTGGAGTCACTGGCTGCAGAGGATGACTGTTGTCCACTGGCTAATTCCGTGTACGTGACTATCAGTGGAATTCCACAGGGAGAGCACTCTAAAGACACTGAGATGCAATGCACGGGTCTTCTCGCCAAGGCCAGACAACACACTCATAAATAATCCACATGCTGGTGGCAGGTGCTGCCTGCAGGAAGAAAAAATCATGACGGCGATTTTTATTACGTGCTAACACGCTCCCAAATGTCACGTCACCACTTAATATTAAACAAGAAATGTTCCACAGGTTGCCAAGTCTCAATAGGGGCGTAATCATGGACACTCTCAGGGATGCACACAGGCAGGGCCCACCTCCCACACAGGCTTCCATCGAGTCACTGCACCAGGTCCTCTCACAGGGGACTGGGGAACAGTCCTGTGTGACATCCTCCATCGTACTGGCTGTGGGAGATAAATTACGGTGTGGTTTAAGTCTGTTATCTTCCATGAATGAAGTTTTGTG